AGAAATGTTCCAATCAGATTATCTATGTTTTAAGCGACTAAAATAGGAACCGTGGACACAAACTGCTCACTATGTCCCTGGACTGTTTTGGAGCCGCTTCTGTCCATCTCTCAACACACAGATGGCTACAGCTTCCCTTATAAATCATCAATAACATCAGAGATGTAAAGCTTGTTATGAACAGATTTAGTCACTTTGTAGCTGCTTTTTAGAACACTTTTAACCAACATTTATACAGTGATACACAGTAAGGAATTAACAGAAAATGCTTTTTTAAACGAGTTATATCCTGTTATCCATTGCAGTCCTTCCTTTTAGGCATTCTGGTTTGGGAAATACCCAGAATGGAAAATCTTTCATTCTTCAGGTCTTGTTTGGTTTTGTTTCTTGTTGACTGATTGACTTTATTGGAGAAATGAACCCCTTCAGCTCAAATTGTCAAAAAGAAGAAATTGTAAAAAGAAGAAAAGGTGCATGAGGGAAATATATATATATATTTTAGAGTTTAAGAAAATATATTCAACCACTTTTTATCCACCAGGTGGCGATAGCCAGCTCTCATACTGCCAACCAGTTCCAAAACACTGAAAACTCCCATGTCTTTTTTTTTTATGTATGGAGGAGCATGGAGACACTTTGGGAAAGTCGGGGCATGCAGTCCGAGTTTTAGGTTGGAAGGAAACGCCACCGGGAAGCCGTGAGGTCATTCTATCTCCTTGGTCTGGGACGAACCTAAAGCGTCTGGAGGGGGGCAACGGGTCAAATGTGAACAGCGCGTCGGAGTTGGGACCACAGAAACATCTCCAAGCCAAAGACAACCAGCGAGGGAGAGAGACGCGCGTGAGGAAAGGGAGCGGAAGAGAAGGCTGTAAATCTTTCCCACGTTTTGGCGCGTGCGCTCAGATTGGATACATTGTAACAGAAACGGGACGTTTAACGGAGCTGATTGTAAACACAGGCTCCTCTGTTATTTGTTCCCGCTGGACATGTTTCCGGTGGCGAAGAGCGACGTGTAAGGCTGAAGACTGGGCTGTTGTTCTCAGCCTGCTTCCACTTCTCTTTATATTTCTATTTCTTAGCATAAAAATACTAAAAGTTTGCGTTTTTTTTTTCTTCTCTCGCTTGGTTGTGACAAAACGTAAAATGCAAATGCGGTAAGTGACTCCGGGCTTCCTCCTCTGCTCTTTGCTTCACTGGATTATCTGACACACCGCTGCATCCAGCTGTTCGCTCTTTGTTTGCCAACTGGATTTGTGCAAATAAACTTTTTTTTCTCCATTGTTTATTTTTGAGAATGAAGAGAAGAAAATTCTCCTGAATTTTTTATTTTATTTTTTTAATTTCTCTTTTCAGCCTTCATGTTTGGGGTCACTGACATGCAGTGATCCAGCCCAGTTTATTGCTGCTGTTAACCTAAACTTGTGACATCACATCATTAAAGAAGCACCGGTGGATGATTAAGGCTCCCCGGAGAAGGAAACCGACCACAGTCGCCTGCTCGCGCGCAGAAGAACGCAGCGCTCCGCCGGCTGTGAAGCAGTCTGAGGGCTCGGTCAGTGTGTCCCCGCAGCAGAGATGGAGGAGTGGAGGCAATGCGGCCGCTGGTTGATAGACTGCAAGGTCCTGCCCCCGAACCACCGGGTCGTGTGGCCCACGGCGGTGGTGTTCGACTTGGCGCAAGCGCTGCGGGACGGGGTGCTCCTGTGCCAGATGTTGCACAACCTCTCCCCCGGATCCGTGGATCTGAAGGAGATCAATTTCAGGCCTCAGATGTCACAGGTGAGTCTGAGCAGAAAGAAACCAAGAAGATAGGGGCCCCAGGCACATTTGGATCATATTGAAGCGGATTTACTTTACTACTTTATTTCAAAAGTGCAATACATCACACAGAGTAATATGTTGACTTTACATTTGTCAAGCAGTCTGTCAGTGAGGGACTCCATGCATGTAAGTTTATTAATAAAGAAGCTGGCTGTTGGAAAGTTTAGTAGAAGGAAAAAGTGTGTTGAATAAGTAGCCTGATAAACCAGACTAAAGGGCTGCTTATACACCCTGCAGCAGTGTGTCGCAGTGAGCTTGCAGACATTTTTGATTCATGCTCAGTTTTGAGCATGATCTGCGCTAGATATGGCTGAGGTGGTGAGGAAGTGGGGGCAAGTTTGTGAGACAATGGAGGGCGCGAAAGAGCGTGGATCCAGGTGTAAAAAGGGTCCCAGCGTTCTTGTGCACCTCGCTTTTCTAGCTGGTCCATCTTCAGGAGTTGTTTTCCGCAATTGCGGTCATAAAAACAAAACAAGCCGGCCTCCTGTCTGAGATCAGCTACAATTTGGGAGAGGTGCAGCAGGGTGTCTGCGGAGGGGGCGGGGACGTCTCTGCGTTCACTGCGACACCTACGCAGAGATCCTGGTTTCGAAGTATAAATCAGCCTTAAGGCTGTGTTCACACTGCAGCCTGAAGTGACCTAAATCCATTTTTTTTGGCCCACATGTGACCTGGATCTGATCTTTTCATGGCAGTCTGAACAACAATGCGACCCAGGCCACTTGGCTATGTGGTCCTGAATCCGATACGAATCTGATCTTTTTAAATGCGACCTGCGTCTGAACGGCCAGGTTGCATCCATCCAACCTGAACGCCGTTAATACCCGACAAAGGTCACTATTCTGGGTCTTGCTATTTTTTTCAAACCGCTGTTTGTGCCTATTGGCCAACGCTCTGACCAATGAGCGCAATTAGCTGTGACGTAGTAAGCGCTACAGAAAGCTGGTGGGGGAATGTAAACAAACAGCCTGTCGGTAAAACGGCGAATCCTTCTTAAAAATGAATGAATGAGCGTAGAGCCTCTTCCTGCTCACGTTTCAACAAAACCAAAGTCAAATCCTTCCAAAACTGATTCCAAAGCTGAGTGCAACGAGGACTGTTCAATAGTTGTTGCCATCTTCCTTGTTGTGCTTTCTCCAGCGTCGCTCAGCTTTGTCGTCCTGCCCTCGAAACTCCACCCGCTTTGCATCCAAAAATTCAGAACACATCTCTGCGTTGAGATTGGCCCGCCAGTTCTAGGGTCTGGGGCATTGATCGAGGGTAGACCAAACTCGCAGGCAAAAATGATTTTGGCCGCTGGCGGGTGGGGCTAGTTTACTAGGCTATTAAATTGAGAAAAAACATTGAGAAAAAAGAAGAAAAGGAGCTTTGTCTAAAAAAGTTTGGTGAAGATCCATAACCCCCAGATTCCACATACTCGGTCATCGCTCCGCCCCGTTCACATACGTCTTCTCCGTCCGGCACTGTCAAAAAACGGAGCCGAGTTGTTTTTACTTCTGCTCCAGCCAGATCAAGATCCACAACCGCACCAAACAGGAAAAAGAACGCCGAGAACATCCAGTTTGTCAAATTAAAATATGTTACTGATGGATCCGTAACTACAGATTAGAGCATAATTCTTATATATTCCCAAAAACTAAGAGCATTTAATTAAATGATTGCACAGACCAGAATCCCAGTGATGCTCTTCCTCTTTTCTTCAATTACACTTTTTTCTTCCACTAAATTATCCAATATCTTTGGACACAGACTTGTGCAAAAATGCTTGCTTCTTTAGAGATTACATTTTAGCATGGTGTGATGTATCTTCCCATGGTTCTATATTAATGTCTATAACATTTCTGTACAAAAAATGTTGCATTTATTTGTAATATAGACATAGTCTAAGAAATAAAAATGCTGCTTTGGTTTCCATTAGCTTTAAGCTGTACTTTTAAAACTAAATTTGAAGAAATGCTTGAAGGAACTCAACTTTTAGTTGCTTTTGTAGTTTAGATAATTTTGAGCTCTGTCTGAATTCCCATTTGAGCTGGTCTGCAGTTTGTTCAGATACCTTCATTGGGATGTGATTGTTGCAGAATTGCAACATGCAATCATATGTGTAATTTGCTAGATTAGTTCAGTTTTGTTCCAGATGAAGAAACAATTGATCACCTTTGTAGGTGTTGGCTGCACTTTGCGTTTGCAGCAGCGGTTTTATAACAAAAGCAATCATGTTCACGCAGACCTCCTGCCCAGGTCTGAATGTTTCATTGCCATTCATCCATCTGGCAGAAATTTTGCCTCGTCAGCAGAATGATCCATGCAGTTTCGCTGCAGCTTCAGCATCTTCACATCTGCTTTGAAGGGAAATAACTGAACTTCATCAGTTCATGATATAATGCTTAAAAAGAGGAAGTTATAGGTTTAATTTGACCCATAGTTTACACTGAGATGTGGAAGTTATTGCAGCCTGATTTCTGTGCAATAAAAAAGAGTCAATTTTGAGGAACAGAAATGAAGGGTGATGTATTATTTTGCAAGCTCTTTAAGGACCTTTAAATTATTGCTTAAAAAAAGCACACTTTTTTTTCCTGCTTTTAACTTTTTTAGCTATAAAAGTATAAAGAAACAAACAATACATTAAAAGAATTGTTGCATAATCTAAATGAAATAAAAATCTTTGCCTTATAGGGTTGTCACGATACTAAACTTTTCAAATCGATACCAATACTAAGTAAAATATTCGATGCTCGATACCCTTTTCAATACCACAAGAATAAAAACAAAGACTCTTAAATTCAACAGAAATATTTTCATTACTAAAAAAATACAAGAAATAAATATAAACAAACAATAAGAATAATATTTTGAGGTTGTATGCTGTACACAATATTACCGTAAGCAAGCTTGATAAAAAAACTTACAAAATTAAAATTAAGTGTTCCTTCCTTGGCTATGTTTTGCAGACATAACAATGACACTGGCCAAACCATTTAAACAAAAATAATTCTCAGCAGCTGCACCTGTTACAAAAAAAGTCTGAAACTGAAAAAAGCACAGAATTATTCAATCACACAGTGTTCAGAAAGTGCATTTTCCACTATTCTGCACTTTAGATGGCTGTATCGATACTTTTGAAAATGAGTATTGTATCCGGATACAACGTTTCAGTATCGATACTTTTGACAACCCTATTGCCTTACAAACATGTGAAACATTATTTCATACATTTAGGATTGTCTTTTAGTAACAATTCTGGATTATTATCTTGGTTTAAGCCAGATTGATACGGTTTAGAATTCAATATAACTACATGTATTGATCTAGAAAGCCTCATGTAGAAAGTGTTCACAAATTGGAGGGACATTCAGTACAGGTCTTTGAGCCAATTGGGTGCCTGCATCCAAAGTCACGTGTTTTTAGCCAATCACAGCAGTTGTAGCCGTGTCACGGAGTTAACTGATGAATCAAATGCTTCGCAAATCCAGCCGTGGGGAATACGTAACCACATTCCCATCCTCAAAGGTAAAAATTGTGTCATTTTGATCGCGTTCCAAAATTAAATAGTGGGTATTCCAGCTGAAACCAGAGCAGCCATGTTTGTTTCAGCCTTCCGCCTCTCGTTTACGCGGTGACATCGTACACATTGCTGTATTTCATTGGTTCGAAACATTTCTGCATTGAGGTTAACGCATCTGCCAACTCCTATAAAGTTGTATTTTTGGGAGTTTTTGAATTTACAAATCTTGCAACAATTTATCTTGATTGGAAGGTAGCTAGATTATAAACTGGATTAGAATATTTCAAGAAAATGTTCTATGTTCTAATGATATAGTCTCCAGATTCTTTCCAGTTGTAAAAAAATATTCTGTTTTCATTGGATTAACTAATGAAAATTCAGCTAATTTGCAGCCTTTTCACACCAAAAACATGACCTGTGTGGGAAAAAAATATTTGCATTACAACTAAGTTTGGCCATAATCTTTGCACAAATAGGATTCCATGACCTTATAGTGATCTCGCAGTTGTTGGCCAATAAGTCCCAGAGAGGAAGAAAGAAACACCATCCTGAAATATAATTAGAGTAAGATTACAATTCGTCTATGTGGTTTTTCGACACGCTTTTTTCTTTCTCTAGAACTTCCTGTTCACCTCAGCTTGTGCACAGTTCCAACATCAATATGAGGAAGCATTTGGTTCTTGGTTAATGTGACCGCAGCATTGGTGTAAAATGTTCACCGTGGAAAATGTTTCTTTATGCGTTCATTGACTCCTAAATGTGATGAGAAATACCCCCAGGTCTCCATTGTTGAATGTTGAGGTAGCTTAGTTTGGAATCGGCACAAAGGGTGAATAAAAATAAACCTAGATAGTTGTTTTGGGTTATTTTTGCTCTTATGGTGTAGAGGGGGGGCGAAACTACCAGGATTTAAAGGCGATGGGTATCTGACAGTGTGTTCTTGGCACACCTTCAGTGACCTGCTTCTGTCACAGTAATGTGTGAATATGTGTCACATTTGTCTGTCTGCTTTACACCAGGGTTCACCTCTCTTTATTTTGCTCAGTATAAAAAAAGCACTTTGTAATTCTGACCATTTAGTTTAATAGACTGCATGTTCGATGTCTTTGATTGGACGGTTCAGCAATTTGATCTAATTGATTAAACCATCAGGATCCCAAAGACCAATTGTTGGTTAAAATGAGCACAGCAAGTAGTTTTCTCCTCTAGTCAGCCTGAAGGAAATAAGCTCAAGAATGATATATTAGTATTACATCAGACCAAATAAAAAAAACTTTCCTAATACAGAATCATGGGCCTAAAGAAAGGCTTGTTAAATACTCAGAGGAGAATGCTCTCTTGTTTACATCTTTAATCTGACTAGCCAGCCTCATCAGAACGCATCCTCTGACTTCATGAATATGACAGTATCAATGTTCACGAGATGTAAAACTGGACTAAAAGAACAACATTCTGG